GTGTGTGTGTGTGTGGGTGGGTGGTGGTGGTGGTGGTGTGTGTGTGTGTGTGTGTGTGTGTGTGTGTGTGTGTGTGTGTGTGTGTGTGTGTGTGTGTGTGTGTGTGTGTGTGTGTGTGTGTGTGTCTGACCCCTTGGCTTCGCGTAAAGAACGAGAGTGCCGGGACGCACCGAATCGAGTCGGGAAAAATGCGAGTTGTTTATCTTCCTCAAGAAAATGTAATAGGAGAGATGACTCGCTGTTTAGGTCTCCGCTTCCCTGCCAACTTCGCGCGTTCCCCACTTTAAGTTCGAGTTTTTTTTTTTGTCACCAAGTCAACAGGCAGGTAAATTTGGATAGCGAGATATTCTGTTTATCTTATTCAAAGAAAGTTAATTCAGGGAGACCAAGCGAGAGGAGAGAACTCCAACTTCCGTTTGCCTGCTCGGATTTTTAATCCGATACTTACGATACCTTCTGCAGATGTTGCGAACAGAGAAGCGATTCATCCAACGCCGATTTATCTTCCCCGGTTGTTCTTTATCGCGCAAGATAGACGCGTAACTCGCTACACGACCTGCCTTCCCGCCGGCCTCCCATAAATTCCACGTTACATCGAACGTACGCAAAAGTCGATGGAGAAACAAGTCGGGTCGCAAGTTACGGTTAGTTGTTTCATTCGCTCGGTTTCTCCTACTTTCTAATCTTTCCTCGAACTCCTGTGCCTAATTCGCTTTCGTGCGAAAAACGTTACGCTCGAGCTACGTGCAAACACGGGAGAGGAAAAAGGAGGAAAGAGTGAACCGCCGGGACGAAACGTTTCGCTCAATTTACCTAACGTTCTGACAAAACTGTTTCGCAAAAACGAAATAAGTAAAATCGCCCGACTTGTCTATGCCCGACATCGTTCTTTCATTCCCGTTCGCGATCGCGGCGTCGGTTTTCTTGACGACGATTCCGCGCGTCGTCCCTCGGACCCCTGGGTGCGAATGCAAATACGTACACGCACATATATAGACATATATAGACACGTATGCACACACACACACACACACACACGCACACGCGACACGGTCGATCGATTTTCCGTTCTCGATTCTGCCCGCGGCGTGCAACGATCGGCGTCGAGCCGAGCGTATTCACGCGCGCGCGCATACACACACATACACACGTACATCACACGGGGGATTCACGCGGTCGTTTTCTATGTCGTTTCTCAGATCGACGAGCGTTCTGCGATACGTCCCCCGCGATGCGATCGTTCCTAGCTATAGATACGAGTGACGA